CCCAACTAATAGTTGACTGTGTGAAATTAGGAACGAAATAGTCAACCGTTATCTTTCCGTTAACCAGTTAACGGTTTGACTATTTCATTCCTAATTTCGCGCAGTCAACTATTAGTTGGGGAATAATTCTGCGCGAGCAATACTTGAGTATTAAAACTGCCGATTTCAAATACTTGGGGAATTAATTGCCCATTTTCCCGTATACCATATATATAATTAAAATAAAGATACACAATTAACTTTAAACTTTAATGGAGTATGTAAACTTTTCTCTTTGTTCACTCCAACAAAAATTTTGTTACTCCGACTGACATATTTCGACTCGCATAATCAAGGCATCGGTCAGGATATTTTGCTTTTAATTCATTTCTATCTTATACATTGTTTTTTCTTTTAAACTGTTTTTTAAATCAGGTTCAATGATCCAACTTTTTAGATTTGAAATAAATGATCTTGCATACGGTGTAAGGGTTTGGATGGCTCATGATTCACAGAGTTAGACTGCTCTCTGTCTTAATCACCAGTTTTCTGCTTTATCTTAGCTTGCTTTCATCTGACTCTTTATCTATTTGTGCTATTCATGTTTGTTGCTTCAAGTGGTGAAGATGATGTTGAAAAAGGAGTGTTCTCTTTTGGTCTTGGTGCAACGGTTAAGTTACTATCCTGATCGTTGATATTATCTGGCTGCTAAGGAGTTTCAGCTTTTTTTCTCAAGTTGTTGTGGGAAATCGCAAGGTAACCAGGTTTGTCTTTGTCTTCCTGGATTTGATTTTGGTGGCTCCTATATCCTTTGGAGCAATAGAAAGAGTCAATCTTGTGTCTCATCTCATAATAATGTTCATCTTTGTTCGGTCTCGTCTCTTATCCTCTCCGACTCAATTCATTTCTTACTTGGATGTCTAGTTATTGATTTTTGATTTTGTTTTATTGTGTATGTGCTTTATCGGATAATTTGTTTTGTTTGACTTCCAAGAATATGTTAAATACTTTTAAATGGTAGTTTAGTGGTAGTCTTTTGGAGTTTTGGTGTGTATTTACATCAGTTATGGGTTTGATTTTTCGTGGGAACTAAATAAACATTACTTGTTCAATGTATTCTTGGATTTCGATTGAAGTGATTTATATGGTGAATCGTAATAGATGATCGGTTCACCCCTTCGCATTTGTCGGAAGGTATTCCAAACTCGGGTTAGACAGTATAGTAATCAGTGCACTCTATAGTCTACTCTATAACACTAAGTGCGTGTTTTCCAAGACTTACCGGATCAACCGATATCATCTATCAAAAAAGAAAAAACGTTTTTAATTTCTAAAAACTTCTCTTTTGTCTATTGGTTTTTGTGTTAGGGATTAGTCTTTGGAGTTATCTTCTTTACCCTTTATTGTATTCCACCCACAATTTCTCCTTCTATCCTTCAAAATGCATAAAAGATTATGTTCCCAAAAAGACAAGATTAATAAGCAATTAAGTAAAAGTATCAAACATTGATAATGAGAAGCCCATATTGTACAAACATCACCTGGACATGCTACATAAAGTATGTACCTTATATGAGCCCATATAGGCCCATATATATTTTTTGGTTAAAGGCCCATGCTTAATAAAACATTCAAATTTTAATCCAATTTCTAACTCCTCCTCCATCCCTCTTGCTCTTCCGTGGCCTTTTAATTGGCCGCTTAACCAAATCTGCATCTTCTCCACCCCTTAACGTCGTCCTCCTTCCTCCTTTGGATTGCTCAATCGAAGTGGTGGTATAGTCTGTGAGATATATATATATATATATGCCTGGTCGATATGTTAAGGCCTTGGTCTTTGCTAGGGAGATTCGTTGGGACGTACATAACACGGCATAGCATAGTATGCACCACATGATCTATAGTATATAGTAATATTTGTTTATAAAAAAATTGGGTCAACATAAAGTATAAAAAGAATAATAATGAATGTTGCAAACAAAATGCAACTAGAAACGTGATGGGGGTTGGGTAGGTATACCAGATTCCATCCCCACCTTTTTTAATGACGGAGATAACAATGAATAGACTATAGAGAGATACTACTCCCCAAAAAAAAAAAAAAACTTATAAAATTATTATTAGCTTCTGTTCATTTGCAATTTGGGTTAAAGAGCAATGGATACCGAGTTTCTCCGAACGTTAGATCGTCAGATCCTCTTGGGTGTCTTCGTCGCTTTCGTTGCCGCCACTGCTGGTGCTGCTTACTATCTCTCCTCCTCCAAGAAACGCAGAGGTTTGATTCCTAAAGTTCAAAACTTTCAATTTCAATGTACTTTTGGATAAGTTTTAGGCAAAGATTTGTGTTGAGGGAAGGTTAATTTAGCCTAGAGCGAGATAAAGATTGAGCCTTTGTGGTTTTTATTAAGTGGGTCTTACTTAATGTAATTGAAGATTTGAGTAAAGGTTGTGACTTTTGTTGGTTGGTTCATATAGGGTGTTTGGATCCAGAGAATTTCAAGGAGTTCAAGCTTGTTAAGAAGCAGCAACTTAGCCACAATGTTGCCAAATTCGTTTTTGAGCTCCCATCTTCTACTGCTGTGTTGGGTCTTCCCATTGGACAACACATCAGTTGCAGGTTTGCTCTTCATAGCTCTCTAGTTTCCTCTTCATTGGCTGTGAACATACTCATTTGTAGAGTCTAGGTTTTGGTTCATGTATGGATGCTGTGTTGATTATAGTTGGCGTTATTGATTATAGGGGAAAGGATGCTCAAGGAGAGGATGTTATTAAGCCATACACTCCCACAACGTTAGATTCAGATCTTGGACGCTTTGAGCTTGTCATTAAGGTATATGCTTCTGAACCACTTCCCAACTTGACTTGGTTTTTTATTCTAAAAGGTTTGAAATTGCTGTTCAAAAATAAAAAATAAAATGTTGGAAATTTCCCTTGGCAACTAGATGTATCCACAAGGAAGGATGTCTCATCATTTCAGGGAGATGCGTGTTGGAGACCATCTTGCTGTTAAGGGACCAAAGGTATTTGCTTACTTTATAATAAAGACAATTCAAATTGTTATGCTAAAGTTTTTCTTGAATCTCTCAACACTTTTTGTTGTTTTGTTACTTTTTAACTTGCCAGGGAAGGTTCAAGTATCAGCCAGGACAGTTTAGAGCATTTGGAATGCTTGCTGGAGGTTCAGGCATCACTCCCATGTTCCAAGTATGTCTCATACTTTTTACTTTTAAATATGTTTTTTTTTATGAAGCCAATGTTATATGTTTTAAAACGTATTTGATTTTATCATTTGTGAAGGTAGCAAGAGCTATTCTTGAAAACCCAACAGACAAGACAAAGGTGCACCTCATTTACGCCAATGTCACATACGATGACATTCTCTTAAGGGTATGAAGTTTTCCTCACCTTCTGACACACGTTTCCATATACTATTTTCAAGCACTAAATATTTGTGAATCAATACTCTTTTTCAGGAAGAATTGGAGAGTCTTACCGCCAATTATCCAGATCAATTCAAAATCTACTATGTTTTGAACCAGGTTAGCCACAAATCCAAATGTTTTTGGCGTTTCTCTTATGTAACTTGCCTATTTTAACTTTTTATAACTTTTTTTTGTGTGGTGATGATTAGCCTCCGGAAGTATGGGATGGTGGTGTTGGATTTGTATCAAAGGAAATGATTCAGGCTCATTGCCCTGCACCAGCATCCGATATTCAGGTAAACCCTTCCTCTGTTCTTGATTTCAAAACTAAAAATAGATAATCTGTGTCAGTGTTTGAAGCAAAACCAAGAACACTTCAAGTTAATAAAATATTTTACAAGTAATGAAGATAGGATTTTTCAATGGTGATAACAATCTCTTTTTCATGGTTTATGTGTGTTTGTATTGCAGGTCTTAAGATGTGGACCACCACCAATGAACAAGGCAATGGCTGCAAACCTTGAAGCTCTTGGTTACTCTCCAGAGATGCAATTCCAGTTCTGATTGCTCCAAGAAAAGATTGAACTATTTCTTTAAAAAGAAACTTATATCTCTGATCAAATAATTTTTGGTTACAATCCCAAGTGAGACTTGTGTCTTTAATTGAGTGAGAGTATTTCTGTTCTGTTATCCCGTTGGGAGCTACGATTAATCGGTTAACGATTTGGTTAGGCATATTGTTTACTTATACCGGTTTGGTTTGGTTTGGTATGATATAAAGACTTGATAGTGACATCCACAACAATACCTACCCTATTTGTTTTGCTTTGTTGCCATCAATTTTGGTGACTGGCCTACATACTATCTATGAATCACTTTAGAAGCATACCTACAAAAGGGTGATTGAAATTGATTCTTAGTGGAATGATTAATAACATATTTGTAATTTTTTACAAAGCACAACTTTTGGTTAGTCGGCTTGTTCTTTTCGAAAAAGTGTTGCTAAAGAAAGAGAGTTTTTCATTATCACTTTTTTTTTCTTGACATCATATTGATACCAGTCACATTGTGAAATGATATGTGCAACAAATAAAATGAACAAGTTGTTCGATTAACAGTGCACACTGTTTAAAAAAGTAGCTGCATAAAGAGTGATCGTCCATAACTATTGAATCCTAGATTGATTCCGTCCTTCAACTATATATATATCACATGTTACCGAGTTTAATATTAAATCCTGTTGTTTTCAAGAATGTGACCATCTGGGATAAGATTCAGGATAAATAATTCTAAGATCTTGGACTATTATCCAGATCGGATTTTGTTTTAAGCGACTCGGAAAAAAAGTCGAGAGAAATTCAGCTGATCATTTTATAATCTTTTTCTTCTAGTTTCCTTTCCGCATTTCGATTAATTTAAGGCGTAAAAGAAAAAGTTAAGACGTAATTAATTTGTCCAACAATAAAAGGTTGCTTTGGTATTAGTATTTATTTTATCATGGGATAAAGGATGCTTAACCATTGATAGTTTATAAAAAAGTGTAAAAACATTCACGCCACAATCCAAAAAGAACGATGAGCCCATGACTCATAGTATACTTACTTTATTTTCTTTTCTTGGTTATGAATCACATCATCCAGTAATACCTCCTCTGAAATTTTCTTTATTACAACACGCAATAGTCCCACATGCCACATCGCGACAGTATGGCGAATCTTTTTGGTTTTTGTCTTCTTTTATTATGGTGTCAATCATCAAATATCTTGAAATGCTAAAGTTAAAAACGTTAATATCCGACCATAGATAGTGAACTGCAACATCTAATAAACATAAACACACCTACTGAAACCTCCAAAAGTGTTATCTAAGAGAAAAAAAGTATCGGCGTAAATAGGTTTTTAACTGTCTATGGTCGGATATTAACGTTTTTAACTTTCGTTTCAATATATCTTTGGGTAAGTGTATACTCATCTTCCACCTCAACATTAAACTAAGCAAGGTCCTGATGTAAATATATCCACATAAAACTAATTAGCTTCAAGTTGGTTACTTCATCATCATTATATATATTTTTTTCTATCAAGATATAAACGTTTTCGACATAATAAAATAATAAGATTGTTCATATCACTCCCACAAAAGAATAGATTATAAAAAACTCCTTTTACGATATTTATATGTTGAAAATGTCAATGATCCAAGGGATATATAATTAGTGGAAATACTTCTACGCTATATATGCATGATATTCGTTTATTTATATTGATTAATGGACGTAAAGTATAAGCTTTAGTTCGTCGTCATCTTGTATGACGCAATCTTGTATGACGCATGCCGATTAGATTATCCACTTGTGTATGAATGTCATGAAACAAATTAGATATGTAAATTCAATACTTCCTTTTCTACTCTGCTTTCTTCCAGACTTCCACAGATGTCTGACCAAAACGTTAATAGTCTGTAAACTGTAATCATTTCTTACAAAAAGTAATAACTAATTGAAGGTTTTAAATTGTTATGTCAAGAACATTAATTGAGTTTGATTTCAAATCTAGGCTAGAAAACAAAACTACAGACCGACACCGTTACATTAAATATTTTTCGAGTCTCCATTGGTCAAGCAACAAGTATTTAAATAATACGGTGGACTGAGTTAAAATTATAAAATAAATAGCCTGCTCTTTCGTGGAAAGAGACGTGGACATTTTCCATGAGCTTTTTTTGTCCTCTCTATACTCATTTCAATTTACTTTACCATTCTCAATATTTTCTAATAGTATTGTGGAAAAATATGTCTTTATTTTCACATGCATCCATTGAATAAAGACAATGAAATAATAAGTGTTAATAGTGTGTTTAATCCCCAACTGTAACCTTATGCCTTAAGCTTCTCTCCTCCTTTATATAATCTCTTTCACATCTCACTTTCACTCTCCAATCTTCAACCAACACAGAGAAACATAAACAGAGAAAGATACGATGTTATTCTCTAACGATCTTCCTTCACCCACCTCAATTTTCACAGCCTACGCATCAATGGCTGGTTACATGATGATGATACGTTCAATGGCTCACGAGCTCATCCCAGCACCAATCCAAGAGTTCATCTACTCCACTCTCCGCTCCATCTTCTTCCGTTCTTCCTCCACAACTCTCACTCTAACCATCGACGACGACAACATGGGCATGGACAACGAGATCTACCTAGACGCGCAGACCTACCTCTCCACCAAGATCAGTCCAGACGCAGTCAGGCTCAGAATCAGCAAAGGCCATAAAGACAAACACGTCACGTTGCATCTCAGCAACGGAGAGATCGTCACCGACGTGTTTCAAGACGTTGAGCTCACGTGGAAGTTTATTACCGACGGTGGAGACAAAACAAACGGTGGTGGAGATGATGACGGTAAGAGCGAGTACTTCGAGCTGAGCTTCGACAAGAAGCATAGAGACATGGTCATAAACTCTTACGTTCCTTACATCGAGAGTAAAGCTAAAGACATCAACGACGAGAGGAGGATCTTGATGCTTCACTCTCTCAACTGTCTCCGTTGGGAATCAGTTATCCTCGAGCACCCTTCGACCTTTGAGACAATGGCTATGGAAGATGATCTCAAACGTGACGTCATTGCTGATCTTGATAGGTTTATTAGGAGGAAAGAGTTTTATAAGAGAGTAGGGAAAGCTTGGAAGAGGGGCTACTTGTTGTACGGACCACCCGGAACGGGGAAGTCTAGTTTGGTTGCAGCAATGGCTAACTATCTCAGGTTTGATGTTTATGATCTTCAGCTGGCGAGTGTGATGCGTGACGCTGACCTAAGGAGGCTCTTGCTTGCGACACGTAACCGTTCGATTCTTGTCATAGAAGATATTGATTGTGCAGTGGACTTGCCTAATAGGGTGGAGAAACAGCCTGTTGATGGCAAGAACCGAGGTGAATCTCAGGTTTGGTTCTGCCTCTATTGTTTTTTTTAGATTTCTATTATTATTGGTTTTGGTAATAAGACTAAACAATTTTTAACCAATGTACCAAACCGGACCGAACCGAAAACCAAATTATACTTCTTAACCAATCGAACAGTCTAAATTTAAAGGGTTAGTGGGAGTTGAATTTAGTGTAGTGTTTATTGATTTTTAGATTTGAATGATTTGTTAATAAATCACAGAATCATTAAAAAATTACATTTTCAAATGATAATAGTTTTTGTATATAGTTAACTATCACCAAACCAATAACACTAGATTAATGTTAGTATTCATAAGCTAATAACAATAGAATTTAAATACTTGACGACATTAATTAAAATTTGAAAAATTTTAGTGTATTTAAATGGCATTTTGTCTTGTGTTTAAGGGACCATTGACGTTATCGGGGCTACTAAATTTCATAGACGGACTATGGTCAAGCTGTGGAGACGAACGGATTATAATATTCACGACGAACCATAAAGATAGGCTAGACCCAGCATTGCTACGTCCTGGTCGTATGGACATGCACATTTACATGGGACATTGCTCTTTTCAAGGGTTCAAGACTTTAGCCTCTAATTATTTGGGTTTGACAATGCCACACCGTCTTTATCCTGAGATCGAGAGATTGATGGACGGGGACGTGATTACGCCGGCGCAAGTCGCAGAGGAGCTGATGAAGAGCGAGGATGTTGACGTGGCGCTTGAGGGTTTGGTTAATGTGTTGGAGAAGATGAGGTTGAAAAATAATGAATCGAGTCTGGTGATGAAGAAGGAGGAGAGTAAATTGGAGATGGAGGAAATGAGATTAAAGCGTGATTTGGAAGGTTCTCCGAAGAAGAACAGCAAAAGGATTAAGAAACTTGTTCTGTTTTGGACCTAAGACGTGTGTCAGAAGCTTCTATCATCCATTATGGGTTTTTCTTATAAATCTTCTATGTAGGGGATATGAATCGTTGTAGACCCATTAAGAAATAGTCCCTCCGTTTCATAATAAGTATCGTTGTAGAGATTTTTTTTCGTTACAAAATAAGTGTCGTTTTCGGTTTTCAATACAAAATTTATTATTTTTATTTTGTAACTTATTTTTCTATTGGTTAAAATGTGATTAGGTGTATAGATAATTATGTTTTTATATAGAAAATATACAAAATTAATTGTTTTCTTAATCTGTGTGCACAATTCTAGAATGACATTTAAAATGAAACATAGGGGAGTACTATTAAACTTCATTTTTAATATAAACATGAGCCCATGTAATAGCTGATTCAAAAGAAGTAGTCTAGTATACTACAATAACAGAGGTAACCATACCACAAAACTTTTTTAAAAAAATCGATTTAAATAGTTGGAAGACTTTTTATGGAAAAAAAAAAAACTACTAAGTTTCAATGTTTCAGTCACAGTCCACGCTAAGAAGCCCACAAACATACAAGGTTTGCAACAAAGACCTCTCTTCTACTCATTATGACCGAACTATGATCAGTTCCGGCGATAACCTCCACTTCAACCGCCGGGAACTTGGCTTTCATGTTCCATACACAATCAATAGGGACAACATCATCTTTATCCCCATGAATTACATTAATTTTAACACCCGAATTGATCAACATTCCAATGTGTTTGTCCGTAAACTTCGCTCCTCCACATATCACATTGTGCATGCTGTGCCACACAGACTGATGTGTGTGCTTAGTCAATTCGGTTATAGCCGTCGGTAGTTTCCTTAACATTAAAAAAAAAAAGTTTCAAAACCAGTTTCCGTAATAATCAAGCAACAGTAGTATATGGTTATATTTACCTTCTCCATGTTACAATTTTGATGATCCTCTCCCATGTACGGTGGTGCCTACAAATAACCAAGCAAATGCCACGGCATATGTGTTCGTACCATGACATCGCTGAGAAAAACGAAGTCAGCGGCCAAAGTTTCTTCTCTGCGATCACATTAAGAGCATCACAACTTGCTCCTCCTCCTTTTGTATCAGCAAAGTATGGCTAAATCCAAAAATAGTAAAAAAAATATTTCAGAACAAATGTTGTTTTAATTTTAAGAGGATTTGAAATTTTCTATATGATCGGAAAACTCACTGGAGCTACTAAAGCAACGGACTTAACGCTACCGGAGAGTTTGGCGGCTAAGGCTACTGCGATGATGCATCCCATGGAGTGTGCTACAACATGAAATGAGGTCAAATTGTTCGGTAAAATAACCGATTTCTCGATCATTTCGACATGTTCTTTCAAAGAATATCGACAGTGCCTAGGTTTTGGACTGTCTCCAAACCCTAGAAGATCTACCGCGAAGTATCTATAGTTAGTTTTCTCCGTGGTCTCGGGTAGATATTTGAACAATGTGTTGGTCCAAAACGATGAAGATGATAACAAGCCGTGTATGAAAATAACATTCTGTACCGGTTTATTGCTCATCAATACATCTGAAAAAAAAATTTGAGGGGGAAATTTTTGAAATTAAATATTTAAAATAAACCTTTTAACCACTTAGTTTAAATCGCTAACTGGCAATTACCTTGAGATATTGAAGGTTGCTTGACAATTACGTTAAGTTTATCAGTGTTGTTGGTCCAAGAAACACATTTCTTGCAACCACAATCAGACCACCGGTTCGCAACCTTACGGGTCGGGAAAAGGAAATTTCTCAGGAAAGTACAGATGCCGATTTTCTTTGTGATCTCAGGGAGTTGTCTCGCAAACCGGAAGAAACCGGCTTGTCGAAAAATGTTTCTCCTCCGGTAAAGAGTCTCGGACAAGTGTTGATGGTCTGAAAGAAACTCGTATCCGGCGAAATCTTGAGGGTTTATACAAGGACATGACACTGATTCTTCTTCCATAATTTGGTCGAGGAATCTGAAAACGATGCAGAGAAAAACGTCGAGAATGTCCAAGAGGACGAAAACAGCCCAAGTTGGAGCTCCATTGATTACTGAAATACATTTTTTTGGGAAACTCGAAGCAATCGTCATAGCGACCTTTTAGAACGAGAAAGAGAAAAGGAGAGTCTGGTGAGGAAAAACATCTCTAACGACAGCTTTTTATAGACTTGATTGGGTTTAAAATGTTTAAGATTTAACAGGAGTTGATTAATTACTTTTGTAGTTTATGTTATTATTAGTTGGTCTTGTATATTACATGTAGCATTTTTGTTTTGTAACTTTAACGTGAAACTTCCTCCAAACTCGAAGAAACAATTTTATTTATAAGTTGGACCGTAGTACTTGTAAAACAATGCAAGTTAAAAAAAAAACAAGAAAAATTCGAGTTAAAAGTGTTGCTTTTAGTAAATTTTAAGTTATATACTGACAAAAACTTGACCAAAGGTTACTTTCAATATATGCCTGAAAATTTGTTATACATATATAACCTTTTCAAAGTTAGTTTTTTTAACCACATTTTACAATAGCATATTGTCTTTGGCAAATCAACTCAAATGACAACAAAATTACTGGTTAAATGAACGTTATTCATTTATACAATTGTAGTATACTAGTATATTATAAATGCACTTAACAAAAACATTATTTGTTGCAGCATTAATTAAGAATTACAAATTCAAGAATAGACAGAAAGTTATATTGTTTTTTTTTGATAAAAAACAGAAAGTTATATTGTTACAAAGTGTTTAGTGCATAGTGCATGCGACGACTTTTATAAACGTGAATCTTCACCAAAAAGGATGCGATCTGATGATCTGAACGAAGACTACTTAGTGGTTACACTTAGATAAAATAAAGTTGTTTATCAAAGGTTAGTCTGAACAAACGGGTCCATTATAATAAGTTCTTCAAGTTCAATGATTTTGAATGAGACTGTACATCCACTACTTCTGATAGAATTAGTCTGCATGCTATATAGAATTAGGATTAATGGAGATACAGTTGTTGTCTTGTAACTGAAATATAATTATTTTGTAGCTTTGTTGATCCGCCAAATCTATTTTTTTTTATGATCAACATCTTCAGCTGATTTCACTAATCTCCTCAAAAAGATCTTGTATTACTTTGTCTAAAGACTCTAGACATAGATATTTATACAAACTAGTAATAGATCATTTAAAAAAATTCATACATACACAGTGTCCTCTCTAATTCTTTGTTAACCCAAGCACACATTCTCCTACTACACATTAATAATAAATATATACTATATAATATCGTATCTTAGTACATCTCGTTGGGCTTGCTTTCACAGAGCCATTTCATATAGTAAGCCCAAATTGTAAAACTAGTTAATGCTCAGGGAGAGGACAGAGAGGGAAAGGCTGAACCTTTTTCAAATGCTCAGGGAAAGGTTATAGAGAATCTTCTGGCTGTTTTGGATAATTTCGAGAGAGCTAAATCTCAAATTAAAGTGGAGACCGAGGGAGAGGAGAAAGTTACTAATAGCTATCAGAGCATATACAAACAGTTTGTAGAAATTTTGGGATCTCTTGGTGTTGTCACTATGGAGACAGTGCGGAAGCAATTTGCTCCAATGGTAAGTTACTAATGTATTTCTTTTTTGTTTGAGATTAGGATGACTCCTTGGTATAATGCTGACTTCTCTTTGATCCTTTTGTTTTTTCTCTTTGATGTGTAAAAGCTTCATGATCAGGCAATAATGAGGGAGGATTCTGAGGAATATGAAGAGGGTATAGTACTTAAAGAATACAGGAAAGGTTTCTTGCTAGGCGAGAGGCTTTTACGTCCTTCAATGGTGAAAGTATCAGCTGGACCAGGACCAGAAAAGTTCAGTGAAGCTGAAGGAGAAGAAGCCAATGCACAAGGAAGCGCAGAAGAAGAAGCAGAAGCAGCTTCATCTTGAATGAAAAAGAAAAATATATATTATTATGTACATATGTATTAATGTATCTAATCTTTTCAGTTAAAAATTTATATAATCTTCTTCTTTTTTTTTCCTTTCTGATAATTTAGAGATATCTGATCTGTCTACCGGAATCAGAATGATTCAGTTGCTCGGAATATGAATTTGATATCCATGTTACTTATTAACCACACAAACGGATAGTCTCAAATAAGTAAGTTTGGGACCCAAGATGCTATGTATCTAATCTTAATAATATACGAATATTCTTCAGCGAGGTAGAATTAAGTAGGTTTGATTTTTGGTATCATTTTGTATTACACTTTAATCATGATTATGCTAAATATGTATATTATACCCTTGATTAAGCATATTGGCAATTTACTATCATGATTCATGCAAAAAACATCGCATTCTTATCATTATTTATGTATATTATCTTTTGACTACTGGTCAAGCTCCACCTATACCATATTTATAATTAATTATGTTTTTAGACACCTTGCTTAAACATATATGTATATATGATGGACTGTCGTCAGTGGCTATGTAAAATGGTCCTGAATCTACGTTTCATACTCATTCTTAAATACCCAATTGCACCATAACAATCAGGGCTGATAACAATTAAAGAGAAAAATAAACATTAACTGAAATTTCAGAGCGAAAAAAAACTCTATGATAATGTACCTAAAATTTGCTTCTGACTAATATACTAGCCAGTATATTTCAGTTTTGCATTTTTTTTCTTGTAGTTAGAATAATATCACTCAAATCCTTTTTATTATTTTGGTTCGACTATAAATTGGGGATCCTGGATTAATTCGATTGTCTAATAGACTATATTTCATCATTATATGTTCAGTATTTATAAGTGCATTGTTCTTTAATCTTTAATTATATTTTGATCGTTGTATCAGGTATTCATTTTTTAATATAATAAATATATGCATTTTTTCCATAACACAAAGCATCAGGTATTTATTTTTTTAATCTAATAAATATATGCATTTTTTCATAACACAAGAATGTAATTGTTACACATACATGTATTTATATGAGTGTTTATTTTCGATTTCTATTTTATAACATTTATGATAGAACGAGAATTTTAATTACCTGTAATTTGTTGGTTGCTAGTTCATATTGTGGTTGGATACTAAACCGATCAAAATGATATATTATATAATATATCTTTCAAGTAAAATTAGTAAATTTTATTTATATTATATATTCTGTATTTATTTATAAATTAAAACATCAATTAGTATGTTTATGCATATTAATAAATCTATCTTTCCAAATATTTTATATCAAATAAAATATTTTATGTCGAATAAAATATTTTATGTCGAATAAAATTTAATTATGTTTTAATAAAAAATAATATATAAAGATATATATATATGGAAATAAGTTTTTTATAGGCCAAATAAAATTTATTTTATGTTTATTTTGAGAAAATAGTAAACTAAAATTTAATTATTTTATTCTTCTAATTAAAATATATATCTGTGAATATTATTGATCATCAAATTATTTAACATATACTCCTTCCGTTTCATATTAAGTGTTTTTATTAAAAAAATGTTATAAAATAAATATCCTTTTGACTTTTAATTAAAAATTTATTAAGTTTATATTATAATTTATTTTTCTATTTTGAAATATTATTAAGTATATATGTAATTGTGTTTTTATATAGAAAGTATGTAAAATTAATTTTTTTTAATTTGTATGTGCAAAATTAAAGTGATACTTAATATGAAACAAAAAGAGTATTTGAATAGTAACTTTATATATTTTTAACAAGGCATTTATGATTTATATTTTGTATGTGAGTTGAATTGATAATAAACATCAATATATAATATTTAAAATTTGTATGTCACATATATAATTCTGCTTAATTTATTGTAAGTATTGATTAGAGAATATTCCGGTTAGAAAATAATGGTAAATTTGGTTAGAGAATTATCTAATAAAATAAATGATTTATAGTTAATTAATAATTATTAAAATTAGTGTTATAAATTGTAAATTTTAAGGTGAAATAATGATTAGTTTAAAAAGATACATCGGTTTTAATAATATATAGATAAATGTTGAAAAAAGCATAAACATATTCAAATTGTTGATTTATTAGCAACTATAAAACAAAATACAAAATAGAAAATTATGAAAAAAAAATTCGTAGTTTGATTTATCGCACTCACATTTAATGATGCAAGAGTATTTATTTGCCATTCGAAAGAAAAAGATGATATGGAGATATGAAACTGATGCTTAGGTACCATTGTTAAGGTTGTTCTAATGTCATGTCTTTCTAAATTAAAATTCATTGCGAATTCTTTAATACGGTGAGCGTGATCGATCGATTAGTTTATACTATAGTGATTAAGAGTGCCGGCTAGAGTCCCTACCATTAAGTAAGTCAATATGAAAAAAATGAAAATATATAAATGGCAATAAACCAACAATAGAGACCATGCAGTGTTTTCAATAAAAGAAAAAAGAGACTATACGTTTGAATTTTCTCTTTTCTATATTACAAATTGGAGACTCTTGTTAATCAAATTTATTATTTTTGTCTCTATGTTACCTAGTATAGATGTTTTCCACATGGTTAAAATAAAATAAAAATTTGTAGCATATTATAAATATCAGGGTAGTTGTATTCAATTATATATAGTTTAGAAAACACCTACAATTTTACTGACAAATGGGAATTATTAAAGCGACAACAAGAATTCACACGTTTCTATCATTGACTTTTATTTTATTCAAAACTGTAATATATGATGTTAAATATAACAATGCTTAGTGAATACTATGAGATTAATTAAAATTAAAAGAAATACCAAAATTACTTAGAGTTCAGTTACAAAAAAAAAACTACTTAGAGTTTAGTGTGTGGATTCTAAATAGATCATGTCTGCCAACATACAATAAACTTTTCATTTCTGAAGCCTTGAATAAATTTTATAATACATGTGAAACGTGAAAACAATAACACCGGTATAGCAAGTTCTACAGTTAGCTAAACTAGTAGAAGCTACACAAAAACTACCCACATGTTTTCAGTAACAAAAAAAATGACTTGACAACCAAAGCTACCCACATGTCTTAAATCATACTCCACTATTTATATAGCTAAGAAATTGTTTTAAATTAAAATTTTATTACAGCACATTTAAAAAAATCGAATACTAAACAAAGTATTTAAATATGAAAATTACTATATAGTTATATTGGTATAAAATAAAAATATATGAAAATTGAGGGGTCTTTTTGTTAAAAGCGATTTCACTCTAAAAATAAAGTAAATGAATCATGTTATTCTATATTTGGAGTAATTCTATTTATCCTTTTTTATATATGGTAGAAGATTTAGTGTACCTTTAGAATGACTCTTACTTTATATTTAACGTTTAGAAGAAAAAATACAGTTAAATATAATTTAATGTATCAAATTCTGACGCAACAATTTTACTTGTCTAATTCATATAAAATAGATTTTATTAATTAAAAGTTACTCATTCCGTTTTTATGATGTTTTAGAAGATGAATTGTTTCCAAATATAAAATGTTTTGAGATTTTAAGTATGTTTTATAATTTTAAGGTAAATTTTAACTTTATCGAAAACTGTTCAATCAATAAAATTTATAGTTTTGTATCATTGATTTAATGACTTTAAAATTATATCTTTAGATTTTTTTTTTAAATATAGTTTTAGTTTATGTGCAATAAACTAAAACATCATATATTATGGAAATCAAACGGCAAAGAGTATAAAATACTAGCTTTGTTTCAAAAGATCTATGTTTTAAAATAATTATTTTAAAACATACTTTTTTATATTTTGATACATTATTTAGTGATAATCTGTACTTTAATTTCAAGAAAAAATATTTATGGTACTGAATAATCGTGGAAAATAGCTAACTACAAAAAATATTAATAACTAATATTTCTTTTTAATATGTGTCAAAAATTAAAATTTAATTTTTAAAACAAATGCAGTATAATTAATCATTGGATCAATCAGTAGACTAAAAAGACTTCCACTTGTTCTAAAAGTGAATGCAAGGATTTGAGGGAATAATGTGAAATACTGAAATTGAAACAGTTGAGAAAAAATATGTGAAATAATTCCTCGATTTCTTAATACATAATATATTTTGGTTTAGTGCATAAAGATTTGAAAATTAACATTTCTCAAAAAACATTTTAAATAAATAATTTTAAAATTTTCAACCAGTTATAAAAAAGACTGTAAAGTTTTTTTGGTTAAAAAATTTCTAATCAAATTAAAATTAACTTAAAAATTTTAATATACACATTAAAATTGCAAAATATTTTACATTTGAAAATAAAATAAATTTTTCAAAACATAATATAATTTAAAACGGAAAGAATATTAAGATGTTTTGAAATAAAATAAAATTTTTAAAACATAATATAATTTGAAACATAAAGAATATTGAAATAGAAGCAAAACCGATGGAACTCTCTAACTGAAACGTGGACACGTAGGTATAAAAGAATCGTCACAATATATTCATATCGTGTACTCATATGTGTCCCTCTTTCCTCTCGAGTCTAGAGTTGTCGAAGGTGTCTTTAAAACATGATCGTGTAATCGCCATAGTGAGGGCTCTCTCGAACTGAAATATTTCCGCTCTTCCATGTTAAGTATTATTGTAAAAAATGTTTTACTACAAAAATAAATATTATTTTTGACTTTAATATAAAATTTATTCTTTTTATATTATAATTTATTTTCTATTAATTAAAATATGATTAGATCTATAGATAATTATATTTTATATACAAATATATAAAATTAATTATTTTATTAATATGTATACACAAATCTAAAATGAAATTTAATATAAAATAGCGAGAATAATAAATACGAAACAAGTGGAAGTTTTTTTTTTGTTGAAAATTACTAGTAAAGATATTTGTGGAATTTTCTCTGTATTTTCTTATTAAACAGGACACAGTTCTTTAGGTTTAGCTTCTTTTTTATTCATGTAGACTGAGTTTAGTATAAAAAATAGAGATTAAAAACCGTAATTACCAAAAAGGAACATTCAAGGAAATTGTTTTTAGGAAAAAGAGTATCTTTAATTAATTAAAAGACTCTTTAAAGTTAATAAGTAAACGGACTTTTAGAAAAAGCCATGGACTCATTATTGTCATTTCCCTATCCATGATTAACCTAACCCATCTACTTGTTCCACTATTTGGCATATCTTCTTTGGAGAGATAAAAGGGGAGAGATAACAGTCCCTCTGTCCTTTTGATGCTAATTCTACTCCAGAAAGTCCAAACTTTGATTTACTTCGAGGTTGCATGTATTAGATGTTACCTTTTTCTGGCACGTGGATAACACCTCCACACTCCATTGGCTCTCTCGAAGTCTATGTCATATACAAACCTCTTACTCTATTTATATAATTTGTTTTTTTTTTCTATCTATACTATTAAAGCTTAAGTACAAAAAATTAAGTGTTTGAAAACATGAATAAGAAGTATTTAAACCATGATGATTGGAAACAAGGATAGTCTACAAATCTAATGGGCTTATTTATTAACCTAAACATTACTGTGGCCCAAAATAAAATTATTATTGTTTTTGGGTTTTCTATCATTGATATTACTTTATTTTTGAAAATTATTTATACATATATGTATTCGTGTTTTAAATGTATTTGGAATAAATCAAGAATAATATATATTTTATTTATATAATTTATAAATAGTATTGTTATAAGTTTTTAACAGTAATATACTAACTTTCCAATTCTTCATTAAAAAATAAACTTAAAAATTTGACTAAATTGTTTAGTGTATATAAATTTACACCAAATTTAGTCAAAAAAACTTCATAAAATATTATTAAAATATTTACGGGTCACAACATTTTACGGACGTCGTGTTACATAATACAGTGATGAAATACTATGTTTAAGCAATATACTATTACTCAGTAAAATTGGAACCGTAAGATTATAATTTTTAAAATATTTATACATACCATAAAAATAAAGACCCGCCCAGTCGGGCGGGTTATGATCTAGTTACTGTTTATTTTGGTAATCAATAGTTTCTTATTTTCCGAAATTAGTAATGTATTTTTTACCTTAAACGTTCTTTAAACAAAAAGTGAACATATAATTTCCTTTCTAAAACTATTCCATATCAGAGTATATATGCATTTTTGTATTACGGTGTCTATATATCTACGCATCCCCTTTTCTCTGTCTCACTATATATAGGCAAGTGTTTTAGTTTTAGTCGACCACAATTGTGTGTCTACCTCTTTCTTCTTTTCTCTTTGTATTCTTCAAATATTTTCTGGGTAATAACTTGTTGCTTTATTATTTTTTTCAAAAAAAATTGTTCCTTTGTTCTGAAAGAAAATTTTTCTTTGCTGCTTCTCAAAACAAAAATATTGTTCTTGGTTCCTCCGACTCTTTCCCCTTGAACTAAGTTCGACAGGTATTAAATCACTCCGTACCTTAACAAAGTCGCTTTATAATATAGTAATTTACTACAAAGATGCAGTATATATATATACATGCATGTATATATGGAGATATCTAGTGATGTATATGGCGGAGAAAACCCTTTATCAAGAAAGAAAAAAAAGTTTTGGGAAATAAGAATATACCTGATCGCTGATCAGGATATCTAGTGATGAATATGGTGAAATAAACCTTTAAATTTTCCTCTTAAAACCGGGATGGAATTTGATTGAAGCTTAGTTTGTCTTTGTGGCATGTCTATATATAAGTAATTAGTATTATATTTTTTTCTCTGACTATAGAAATTAAAGAAGGGGAAAATGAGTAGAGGTGGTGGAGAAATGGAAGAAAGACTGCTAAGTGAGTCAGAGATAGAACAGAGGAGAGAGAGTCTCCACCTGAGAAAGAAGATTTGGAGTGAAGTAAGGAAGATGTGGCGAATAGCTTTACCATCTACTTTGTTCAGAGTGATGTCGTTTGGCTGCATAGTGGTGGCTCAAGCCTTTATTGGTCACAACAGTGAAACAGGTCTCGCTGCTTATGCTCTCCTTCAAAGCACTTTCATTCGTTTCATCTATGGTGTTATGGTAAGGACTTTATGATCCATCCGTTTGAATCCATGTGACCACATATCTGACATCACCATATATATAAATCATGATATTTAGTGTTTTTTTTGTCGCCTGATATGTTAGTGTTTATAAGTAAGAAAATTACAAATACGGATATTTTTTTAATTATAAAAGTAATTTTAAACGTTAACATGCAAAACACAAACAAAAGTTAAAAAAAAAAAACAACTCTTGAAATCACAAAACGTGGTAATTTGAAGGTAGGAACAACGCCCTAATATATAGTAGAAGTAAACTGTATAGTATGTAAAAAAAGAGAGCAATCAAGAGATTATGTAGTTTGAACATATTCAGAGTTAAGTAGTTTGAACTTAGTCAATAATATTTATTTTAATGAATCGCATGGGGGTATAGAATTAGCGTTTGCAATTTGCAAATGACTTACTAGTACAAAACATTAAAAAGTCGTGGTTGGAAATCTTTATAACATTATTTAAGCAAAACCAAAAAAAAACTCTAACGAATGAATTATGATGGAACCAAGATTGGATAATTAAAGGGAAATTATGCCTAATAACACCAAAAAAATATAATTTACTATCTAACTAAAATCCCCCGCTATCTCTCTCTACCCTCTCTCTAAAAATCTAATCTATTTTTTGTTTTGTTATTATTCTACAAATAAATCCATAATTAAATCGGCTGGGTATATAAATAATATGTTTTGTGTCACAGGCAGGTATGTCAAGTGCGACGGAGACACTATGTGGGCAAGCCTATGGAGCACAACAATATCACATGATGGGGATATATCTACAACGCTCTTGGATAGTAGACCTCTTTACAGCCACTCTCTTTGTCCCTTTCATAGTCTTCGCAGGTCCCATTCTTCGGTTACTAGGTCAAAACATTGAGATCACCAAGACCGTTGACGAGATCTACCTTTGGGTCATCCCTTATCTATACAGCATCGTATTCACCATGACAATGCAAATGTACCTCCAAGCGCAGATGAAGAACGCCATCATAGGCGTTCTCTCGACCGTAGCCTTGGTCTTGGACATTGTGGCCACTTGGTGGTGCGTGGGCGTGCTGGGGATGGGAATCCATGGTGCGCTTCTAGGACTTAATCTAAGCTCGTGGTCAGTGGCAATAGCCGAGTTTGTGTACGTGTTTGGAGGGTGGTGCCCACATACTTGGACCGGTTTTAGCACTGCTGCTTTTGTTGATCTTATTCCCATGCTCAAGTTATCCATTTCCTCTGGCTTCATGCTTTGGTAATTTAACTTTTTTTTTTAGGGTAAAACATGATTACTAATCTCAGACCTGACTGTTCTAATGACTCTTCTTGTGTTTGATTTGAACAGCTTAGAGTATTGGTATATGAGCATCATAGTCTTAATGTCTGGATATACAGATGATGCAAATATTGCAATTTCTGCATTTTCCATATGGTATAACCTAGAATCCATCATGTAAGAAAATATGTAATATTATTAAAAATTTGAATACTACATCCTCAATTTATTTTGCAGCCAATATATCTACACATGGGAGATGAATATAAGCTTAGGCTTGTTGGGTGCAGCATGGTATGTAACTTTATCCACACTCATTTAATATATTTTGTATTATATATATAGATACTCTTGATTTTGATGTTGTAGTATATGTTGCTATATCTATAATCTATTAATTGAAAAAATGCAGCGTACGAGTAGCAAACGAATTAGGAAAAGGAGATGCACAAGCGGTGAGATTCTCAATAAAAGTGGTGCTTGTAGTATCAGCGGTGATTGGTGTGATATGCTCTGCTCTATGCCTAGCGTTTGGTGGTCAAATCTCGTATTTGTTCTCTGATAGCCACCAAGTTTCAGACGCAGTCGCTGATCTCTCCATCGTCCTTAGCATATCCATACTCTTAAACATCATCCAGCCCATTCTCTCTGGTTAGAAATAACCAAACCCTTTTATTAGGAAAAAAATTTAAATATTTCTAACCACAAAAATGTATTTACTTTTGAATGTAAACAGGAGTAGCTATTGGCGCAGGGATGCAGAGTATGGTCGCATTTGTGAACTTGGGAACTTATTATGCAATTGGTGTTCCTTTAGGGTTCATCTTTATTAACATTTGCCATTTTGGTGTTAAGGTACATCACTAGTACATGGTTTGCTAATTAACTAAATTCCATTAGTTTATATTCATCATAAACTAATTTCAGGGACTGTGGTCTGGAATGTTGGCTGGAGTTGGTATCCAAACGTTGATATTGTCTTATTTTATTTATAAAACTGACTGGGAAATGGAGGTAATTTACTTTGACTCTTAATTAATTGGACTTTTGAACAAACTTTCAATGTTTTGTAGTTAAATTTTATATTATTACAGGTAAAGAAGACGAAGGAGCGTATGAGAACCTGGACTCTAAAGTCGCCTTCTGTAGAATCGAGTAGTATCTCGACCAGAGATGAAGAGAGGAAGTGATCATATCATACATATATATATATATATATATATATCTGATATTTAAAACTTTTAAGAAGTTTTTAAAATATTGTTATGATGTAGAAAAATTAGGACCTTTGTTGAGATAGCATTATTAGGTTAATGCAACTCTCATAACTTTGAAAGAGGTTAATAAGGTTGATCTTCCTTTTGTCTATTAAGTATACTTTAGTTTTGATTGGATATGTATTTTGGCTGTGGAAAAAAAATGAATTGTTTTTGAAAAGTAGCTCGTTGTTTAATATAGTTGAGTTTTATTAGACAATAATGCTTATAAGATAATATAATCAATGATTTTGAAAAGGAGTTCTTGGTAGAATATTTCAATGAAGTTTTAGAAAGTTTCATCAGCTTAACAACAATCCAATCCTTGCACAACGATTTTTTGCCAGTGGATTCCAAAAATGTTAATTGAAATATGTCAATGCAGTATAATTTATACAGATCATAGAATACACTGACAAGTGACAACACATGAATGTATATTATCTTTGTTAGGCCTGCGTAAATTTCGAGCCAATATCCATGTAACTTGCCCGTTGGGCTTTATCAACAAACCGAACAATTAATTCTTCTATTAGTTATTACAATTAACTCTTATTTAATTTCAAAAATTTGCTGTTTTCCTCTATATAAAAAAAAGGACAACAAAAAGCTGGTCTTTAGGACAGGTCAGGTTCTGTACCTGCAAACTTGTCCGAAAAAAAAAACTTCAGAAATTTGGGAAAGTTTCAATCTTTCCTCCTTTCTTTTTTTGACTGAAGGCTCAAAATGAAAGGGGAAAGTGTTAAGAAGAAAACCCATGTGGTGAATGACGCTGGTGAGGCTGAAACGGCGGTGGAAACAGCCGGAGGAAGCGGAGGAGACGGTGGGTTTGGCAGTGAAGACGGCGGAGAGTCGATTCTTGGCGAGATGGGTGGTGTGGAAGAAGAAGAAGAAGAAGACGAAGATGAAGAGGACGGTGAAGAGGATGAAGAAGAAGCTAAAGAGGAGAGGTCAAAGCTAGATGATGGCTACTTCGAAATAGAAGCTATTCGCCGTAAGAGAGTTAGAAAAGTAAGCTCCTTTTCTTTTCTTTTCTTTTTTTTCATTAACATTAAATGTGGTTTAAGATTAGTGTAGTTTAACCTCTTCACATTCTCTACATTGTTCATTTCTTAGAGCATCTCCAATTTATTACTCCATTTTCTACTCTAAAATGGAGTAACTCCAAAATGCAGTTGAGTTTTACTCCAATGTATTACTCCATTTTCTACTCCAAAATAATATTTTTAATATTATATTTATTTCAAAATTAGGAATATCACCTTTCATTTCTACTATTTGCAAAACAGTCCATTTTAAATTTATAGCATTTCTATTAAATACAATATTAACCACAAGTAAATTTTTATTATATAAATAAAACTACTCAACAAGGTTTTAAAAGAATACATTTAATACATTAAAAATTACATTATATAGCTTAAACACAATAATACATCAATTCTAAATTATTTAGAATTATAATAATTTTCCCACAAATGTTCAACTAATGCATTTCGAAGTAAAAAATGAGCTTCTTTATCTTTGATTTCTCTGAAATGGGAAAGAAACTTTTGGAACCTCACATTATTATTTTCTTCAATTTCAATTTTCCTTGACATGACTTCTCTTTCAACTTCAATTGGCACCTCG